TATATATATATATATATAGATCCAGCTATTCTTTTTTGCGCTTTAATGCATTTTTTAGCTCTAATTACCCCTTTTGTTCCTATTTATAAAGGTTGGAAATCCTCGTTTCACATCTTTTCCTGATCAGCTGCGACCACCCGGAGCCCAAGGGCGTTATTACGACCACAATGGCACTCGACCAAATACCGTTTACGAGTTTGGCTTGAATTACGTCACCGCAGAAGGGGTTGTAGCCATCCCTCCACATGGCAACAAAGATTTCCCACGCTGTTTCTGCACTAGCCCACGTAGGTTACTCATTCTGGCCCTTTCTTCGGTTTAATCACTTTGATCACTATTGCAGACGCACAGACAACTTTCTCAAGTGGTTAAAAGCATTACTAATTTTAATGCAACCCAATTGTTAGTTGTACTTATAGCTGCTCTTTAGTGTAGACAGCTGCTTTGGGAGACAGCGGCAACAATATTAAAAGCCAATTTTCCAGTTGCACCATTCATTTGTTACTCAAAGTGCAAAAGCCAATGTAAAGGATTCCCATGTGTCGGTGCATCGAAATGCTTCCATTACGGTTTTAGTTAAGAGCCTTGGGTTCTATGTTTCCTTGCCAGTATTAACTACTTATTTTATTTTAAAGTTGTACTTTGGGGTATGCGACGACTTGACACTTATGCTAAAATTTCTCTATATAACCATCTGAAAATTGCATCCATCGCCTTTTAAATGCAACGTTGTTTTGCCGCTATTTCATGAACTGGTTGATCGAAAGGAACCGAATTAATAAATAAAAAGCAACTCACTCATCAGGAAGGCAACAGTTGCACTGATAAAGCCCAAATACATACATGCATACATACATATGGCTAAGGAACTGTTATTTGAACAGACTAGTCCCGTTTCTTCATAACATTTTATCAGAAAACCCAACAGTATGCATACAAAAGTGCACTGACTTATCTCAGAATTAATAAAACTGTTTCAACCATTTACACTTAACTTAAAATGTCCTAGCATTAGCCATTTATAGAAAATCATTTTTTAGGTTTGAAAATTAATGTTAATGGAAAAAACTCCTATTTGACCTGTGATTCGCACTTTCTGTTAAGCACCCACCCCATCTAGCTTATGTTTAAACAAGAATTGATTTTGGTTACGCAATTATTTCCATCTGGTTACCTGTAAAAGACTATAATCGCTATCGCATGGACTTTGAAGTGATTTCGAAAAAGGGAAACGAAGTGAGTCAAGCTAGTATAAGTTTAAACAATTAGTAAAATCAATAAGCATAACATTCTACTATGGTACTCAAACTTCAACATTGTAGCTGACGCACCTGAGGCTCCGACAAACTTTAACTGCCACTATCTTCACAAGAACGACTACGCCTGTGAATGGATGCCTGGAAAGGACTACGGAAGTCCCATTGAATATTTCAAGCTGCAGTATAAGTGAGTTACAAATTTTCGTTTTTAGAAATTGAGGAAATTTCAATTCACTGCAAATTTATATATTTACGAATCTTACAATCAATCCATGAAGAAATAAACGAAAGGATGGATTCTCGATTAGATTCGTCTGTTAACACGTATCCAGTTGATATATTGTTTGTGAACTACTTTACCCATAAGATTTTAAAAAGTTGGTCATAACTACTGCTTATAATTACACTGGCGCACGCCCGAATTTAAAACATTACATCTTTTGATGGCGGTTGAGTAATACCTGTATTAGTTTGCATTTCTACCCAAAACCAGATGTACAGATATTTCTGTTATGTCGAAAAACATACGTTCTTTTCATTTTATTTAGACGATCCTTTTATGCTTTTGAAGAAAACTGTGTAAGCAACAGGTAATTGGTGTTGTGACTTCGCTACAAGTTGGGAAGTTCCAGGGTAGCAAGCAACTTAACCTGACAGGCAGGTGACAATTTTCACGCAAACCTGTCAAGTGCTTTCTAAGGGCAACGATCCTGCTTCAGCTTTGGCATTAATAATGGATGGAACGTTTTGCACTTAAAATGGTGGAACCTGTTTATGACATCATGTTGACCTTCAAAATTGAATAAATTGCCCTTTTTAAAGCAGATCGTTTGACTTGGAGGCTATATAAATTCTCTAATCGGTCAGCAATAAACACGCCCCTACTTCAAATGCTTTTGATTTACTTAGTTACCGTCCCTGCTTAGATAAATCGTTTTTCTCCACCCAAATGTATGATGGAATTACGAACCTTATAGCCACATTGGATTCTGAAAAAGTGGCAGCGCCTCCTACATTTTAAATCGTAGTTTAGCATGGACAGAGATTTTGCAATCGGTTCCTAAAGCGGGCATTATTGTTTTGCATTCGTTTTAAGGATTGCCATTTACTACCAGAACCCCTTCAACGAAATGCATTCTGAAAACTTTTTAACCACCTCGTCACTTACTTTGCTCCACCTTTCCCCAGAAATTAGTAGAAGTATCTGGTAGCTAACCGCTCCTCATTTAAATAACTTTAGAACAAATTCTTCTTCGACCTCTTGGAAGTTTCCGAATATTATAGCTATTCCTCAAAAGCGATGCCCAATTCTTAGTTATTGCAAGCAAAAGATTCAAAGGCAATGCTTATTACTAGTGGATGTGCATGAGGAATCGTCTATGTTGAGGTTATTTTTGACATAATTGTTTTTACCCACTACGCGACATGTATTTAGTTCCCTTCCGCTTCCGTACTTTTTTCTGACTGGAACCCATAACTTTACCCTTCCCATCTTCAAATCCTAGAATTTGTATATGCATGAAGTTTTAGACGTGACAACATCGAAGCCCTTTGCATCACCCTTAAATTAAGACCTCTAATATAAAAGGGGACTTCTACTCGAGGTTCGCCTTGCGTCGAAATTGTTTAAGCATGGACTGTGATATGTTATCTCTCATTTTGGAAGCAATCATGGTATTTTTATCAGATTACTTAATTTCATGCCAACATGTCATCTGTATGAATTGACACTAGCTATTGGTTAAACTCCCTTGGCACCCTTCGAATTCACTTCATTACAGCCTTTGTGCGTAGCAAACGGCTTTATTTAGCCTAAACTGGGCAGTTTTGGTTCTGTGCATAGATTTCCCAAACAAAACAAATGCAGACTTGGGAAGGCCAGGGGTCTTGTTATCTCTCTTAAAAATGACATTCCGGAGGTGTAAGCACACGTAGAAAGCATATATTTTTGCCGTCATCAAATGTCGCGCCTTTCGTCGAAATATAAAATAAAAAACCGAAAACAGTACTGACAGCGATCTTACCCACTAGCAAACAACGCTTACTTATGTCGCGCTTACTACCTTATTTCCCTGTTAGGCCTTACCTTAGCACAATGAAAGATAAGCTGCGTTAATTGCTATTGTTTGGTAGATAAAGGAATGCTGGCCCAAATCTGTCTGCCAAGGTCAAGGGGACACATTCCGACATCGTTAGAAATGCTACACGTTAGAATCGGAAGTATCCGTGGGTTTGCTGGTCTCAAGTTGTACCTTAAATTATGCCAAACTGTACTCTGTGATTAGTTTTTGCGATTTATTGTACAGTTTTGACCCATTAACAGTATTTTGTGACTAAAATTAGTTCTCACTAGTGTTTTAAATTTCTTTACTTATTTTCGTCTTTTTCCAAATAAAAGCTAAGAAATGAAGGCAAAAATTGTGTGCGAAAATCGCATCCTAAAAGTGGAGAATTTACTTTGAGCAAATCCAAATACTGATTAAAGTAGGCATTTTTTAAAAGGCAAACAAGTATTCATTGTGTGACCTAAGTATTAAGAAGATAAGTCCTAATTTGGTTTCATGTGTTCAGGCTATTGACCCTAAGCTATTTTTACCTACTATTTTAAATCACTCTTGCTCTCGATTTAATGCTATACTTTGCTAATTTGTATTGGTTACCTCCGAATAAGAACAGTCAGGTTCTGCTCGAAAAACAGCACAATGTAAATATGTTCAAAATTGTGTAGAAGCGGGAAAACCGCGTCCGAGGCAGACACTGCTGATTGGTTAACGGCGGCCTATAAGGCTCGTACCCAAACCGATGAACCTTATGCCAGGAACAAAAAGCGCTCCGAAGTGACCAGGATTTTAATGCAAAATTGTCTTCTTTGCTTTTGTCTCCAAAAAAGACGTAGAAATGAAAGGAAGTGGCAATTGAGAATCATGCATCTGACCCTTTGCAAATAACCTCTTTGGTCAATAGGCTTATCCTCTCCTAAAGTTCAGAGAAGTATGGTTTTACAGCCTTAGCTTCCCTTTTACCTAGGAAAATGTCAAGAGAGAAATATGGTTCCTTACTCTAGTGCACTGTGATTGGAAGGTAAAGGGTGTCAACAAACGCAAAGTTTAAAAACGATAAATGTTTCTATTCTAATAAATAAGACAATTTTGACGAATCCGTTTAGGCCGCTTTTTATGCCTATATGAATGGGGGATAAATAAATTGACTGCCGTGCCGTACCATGCTTTTACCCATGCTATCAATTGGGTGTTGGCACACGTTATGGCTTCCAGTTGTTAAAGATTTTAAGACTCGTTTTCCGCGCTCATCCTTCTTAGGACCAAATGAAAGATGGTCACGAAAACTGGACTAAACGACTCGCAGTATTGAGTAAGACCTATGCATTGCCTATTTTTGATGATCAGGCAGTTTCATGGCTCTATTTGGGCTCGTACTTACAAGCCATTTACTCTTTCCCCATCATATAATGCGAAACATCCACAAAACAGGAAGTTTAAATAACATCATAATTTTCTTACTAAATGGAAACGTACACTATGCTATAATTCCTTGTCTACTGGATTAGACTGCCTAAACCTAAGGACAGTCTTTGGGTTCTCTTCTCTGGTCCATCAAATCGAACCATCCATTACAATTTATAACCAAATAAATCCACCTTTAGATGAAAATAGTCTTTCTTACTGCAGAATTAACTAGCGTCTTCCAAATGAAAGCGCAATGCAGCTCATCAGCACCTCTTAGGTCAAACATTCTTTAGTTTCTCGAGCCTTATCACATAAGTACCGGATAATCGTCACTGACAAATTCATCATAAAGAAAACGACAACTGTCAGATATTATAATAATCCATAAGTTGATATTCTAAACCACGGCGGTCTGCTGATAAAACGCCCACCAGATCAAAACACCGTTAAACCACCTACTTGAAACCCAAAGTTTTGCACTTCACATTTTTTCCTGCCCTACTAAGAGCCTACAACGCCTCCGACATGGATAATCCCAAGTGGATAGATTTGGTAGAGGTGCCGGGCTCCTTAACAAAGGCGAACGTTACTCTACCCATTCGCACCCCCACCGAGGTGCGCATCAACGCTATCAACGCCGTGGGACGCAGTGACACCACAGGGCGTCTAGTCAAACCGCCACTCTACTACCACACAGGTTGATGACGGTGTTCTTATTTAGTGCCTGCAAAGGTCTTTCAGTGCAATGTCAGTAGTTAGCACATACAAGCGTTAGTTTGTTAATTCGTTTGCATATTTTAGCGGCCCACACATGATGATTGTGCGGTGGAGCGGCATGTTTGTAGAAGGAAAGTTGAAAGCAGGTAGTTGAGAGATTAGCTGACTGAATGGATAAATGCAGATGCTATAAATTCGCAATCAATCATTACGATAAGTGTTATTAATGCAAGGCACAAGTCAACAGGCAGTAATTGTAGAGACAGTGTGTCCCTATAGTGTGAAGTTTACGCCAGGAGCAATTTGATTCGTTTATTAGTGCATAAGTAATAGAAAACGTTAACAGAAAAATTCTGTTTTGTCGAAAGCAAACAGAGAGCTTAGGTAAAAGCAAAAATATATGTGGTAGGGTAGGTCTTTCATTCATAATTTGAGCAATAATTTCTATGGAAGGATGACATCGTTTCAGACGAATGTTGTAAGGAATTGGAAAATGATCTATATTTGTAAGTAGAATCATGGAATTTGACGCAACACTGGAATTTTTATTTTAAGAAAATATAAACTTCTTATTTTATTTTTAGTACAATATGTAATGCCCTGCTATGGCCTTCACACTGTTTATTTATGTGACCATTAACACAAGCAGTCAAAATCATGATACATATAACTTTTTAATGTGCCAGAGTGACTGCTTGATCTGCCATTTTTCAAGTAACTCGAAGGCTTTCTTTCTGTATTTCGGTTTTAGAAAAAAGTTGGAAAGCAGCTGATGTGTTTACTTATGGTGCGGTTGGCCTTGGAGTTCTGTTTATCCTCATCCTTCTTATAGCTCTCATCATATTTAGACGTGAGTGTTTTATTAAATTTGCAAAAATAAAGTTTTGTTGAAATTTGAACTCAGGTTAATTCCTTATAAATTGGTGTGTAAAATTGTTTCAGAGCATCGCTTAAGTCACTCAACTATTGTCTTCTTACCAACTCCAAAACAATAATAAACAGCAAAATTGGATAAAATGTTGTGGACATTATTGACTAAAATTAATATGAAACAAAACTTACTCCAGTTCCATTCGATGACTTTCCGTGCTTCAGCATTTAAGTGTGTTCGAATGTGCTGGAAAACCGTTTAAAGCACATTGCTTCCGTTATTCGACTGGGTATTTTTTTGAATTATGACTCACATGTATCAAGTACTCATGTGATTCTATCATATCAATAATTATCATAGCATATACATTCATACTATCAAAGTATTTTAGGGCTTAAGCACCCCACCTAACCATGGGGCGTCTGCTGCTATAGATTTATAAAATAGCGGTTGTTTTCGCATACTGGGCTGGGAATTGGTCCGCAGTTGGGGCAGTTTCACTTACTAGCTTAGTCTTTTAACAAGATTTTACAGGTGTGAAAATGAATTGGGAAATGTTTGTCTGCAAAATAATTTGCGAAGTGGATAATTTCTGGACATAAACTAACTGGGGTTTTGTAATTCGCTCTTTCCATGAATTCTGCTGCCATCAAATCAATGCTCATTTCTTTCGAAGCTGGTATACTTTTACGGAATTCGTTTAGCCTACACTTCCATTTTTCATGACACTTGTATACTTCCGTGAGAGACCATTAGTTGGTAGTTATTCTGTGATCTCTGGTAGCCATTTGTCTTAACTTTTGACATTACGACTGTCTGACTAGCTCACAAGTTTGCGACCGAACTTTCTTATGTACTCCATGTATTTAGAAGCCTTGAATGTTTTAGGGTTTTATCTGCTATTCTCAAAAACTTCAATCCTAATATCTGTAGCGATTAGCCGGGATTTTTATAAAAACATTGTTGATTCATGTTGATATTCACTAATCCTTTTGTACGATGAATTATCATTGACTCATTCCTCAGTTGAAGTCTTCCTTCGCTGCTTTCTCCACTGCATCATTTCAAGCTTTTGATTAAATAACGAAAGAACGCAGATGTTTTCCTAGTTTTAGCGCTTATTCAGATGGTTCAACAGGATCAATGAGGCTTCTCGGTGTAATAACAGGGTCAAACCAATTTCTCAAAAGATTAATGCTTGCGAAGGGAAGATCGGGGGTTTCAGTTTTCCCGCAACACGTGCAACAGCTGTTTCCCATTTTCTGATGGATTTCTGGAATATATTCTTAACTGGCACAGAAGGCGGTTAGCAACAGTCATGCAACTCGCAAACCCATATTTGGTTTGCTTTCTGCGGAAAGCAATTAATTTTTTAGTTCATAGTCACACTAAAGTTCGGCAGACTGAGCTTGGTTTTAACCGACAGTAGTTATTTGTTGGATGAATTGTCTGATATCTAGGGTCCAAAGGTATTGTTTAGAATTCACTCTCCACTTTATGATTGCGGCTATATATATATTATTGGATGTTAAAACGACCATGCGGTCCTAGCAGCCAATGCCTTCTACGAACGTATACCGGCACAATTTTCCTGGTAGCATCATTGGTTGAGGAAAGAGAAGTGATTTTTAAATGAATTAGCCGAGCCTAAGGCTTGCATCTAACTTTTTTTCAGCATTTGGGTAGCTCGTCGTTCTCTGTTTTAGACAAAACTTATTCAGTCAGTGTTTCTGATGTGAAAACAAGTTTTACATAATTTCTGGGTCAATAGAAACCTGCTTTAAAGCAAATTAACGTCACAGAATGATCCGTTGAAACTACCACTTTTCGTATTCTTGAAGGAAGATAGTGATACAATTTTTCGTTTTTATTTGTATTGTAGCCCGTCAGACCATATTTTTGCATTCCCACATGCACATAAGCGTTGAAAGCTCTGGGAAGTGTCTTAAGCAGGAAAGACATCCTAGTTTCACACTGCCCGCTTCAAGAACCTCTCAATCCTTATAGGACGTCAGGCCTTCTCCAAGGCAAACAAATCATCGTTTCTCATCAATTTCAATCGTGGTCGAGGCAGCAATGGTGGTCAAGTGCGAATGTACAATGGTTCATTGCAGGATAACAGTTTCGCGGCAACGAAAACTACAAGTTTGAGCGGTCCACCGTTTGAAATTCTCTCTTCATTTGAACCCGCATGGAGTCAGGAGGTGAATTCTCTCTATGGAGCAGGAGTGGCCATTTCTGGCGAGACTAATGAAGCCCTTCTCAACCTCGACCTGATTCCTGCTTCGCAACTGCGGTTTTTGCGCTATATTGGATGCGGTGCCTTTGGAAAGGTCTGGGAGGGACGACTGCTTGTTTCAGTTTCCGGATGCTCTAGCTCAGAAGATAGGTTTGAGCGGGTAGCTCTCAAGGTGAGACAGTACTTCCGATGGCTTGCCCAAAATGCAATTTATGAATAAGACCTTATTTACCTTAATTTTGCATTGAAATACCAGTGAAAATCTCTAGCTGGAACAAATAGCTCAATTTGTAACCTTTGCATCTATTGGTCAAAATATCTAACAGCAAATCAGCTATTGTTGAGTCACTTTAGGCGTCAATCTCAAAACTTAGCTTAAAAGCTACCTGTGTATAGAAGAAAAAACAAGTTGAAAGAAAATAGAGACCTGTGGGATTCTTTGATGCTACAACGGAAACAAATTAAACTGTACCAAGAAGTCTGTGGGGAAGGATGCACTCATTCTAATAGATTCATGTCACACCCGAACATTGGCCTCTACTGTAGCGTATAATTAGAAGTCATTCAAAATAAACTGCTGTTGCATTCTGACCATGGTAATAATAAAAAGGCAAGCATGTGGAAATATTTTGGTTCGCTCATAATTGCCAAAACAAAGATTTGCCAAGTGAGCACAAAGTTTCGGTATTTTAAGGAGTGAGTCCTAGTCTGGTTAACGATAGTGCAATGCGCGATGGGGATGACATTCAATGGATTTCAATAAAGTTGGACACTTTTTGGAATTCCAAGTAGCTGCGCCTCCATGCAGTATTTATGTCCTTTTTTTATTTCGAACATCTGATTGCAGGTTTCAACTAGTTAGTAAATTACAAGCTTGAACCCGCTTCTAGTACATCTTTCTCCTTCCTGATGAGACCGTGTAAATCACCCAAACGTTACCATACTGTATTAAAGGTGGATCATAGGGTAAGCTGGTTAAAAGATTTGCTAAACCTAAAATGAGTATCGGGAAAGCATCTGAGAAATTCAAGAAGAATAGGCGGAACACCGTCAAAAACTATATCTTGCGTCTAAAACGTCTTCTTTTAAAACATCAATGGCAAATCTGTCCTTAAATCACTAAGAACTTTGGCTTGCATATTCAGCAGCTTGCAAGTTACAATGAATAAACACAACCCTACTTTTCCTTACACCATATTTTAATTGTATTTTCTGGTGCTAACTTTACAAAGAATGTCCCCTTCTCATGGTCATTAGATGTCCAAAGTATGTGGCGATTTCTGACTACATAAATTAACCAAAACAAAATTTTTATGGAATTAACTTTAACCGTTTATTTCTCTTCCGGGCTTGCGGTAGTCTTTTGAACAACGGAGTATTTTTAGAAAAGATAAATGATACCTAGCATCTTACAAGACCTAATCGCATGAGTGAGATATCCGTTGATTTATCATCCGCTTTTACAATTGACCACCGAAATAAGCTTTGACTGAATAAATAAACACTGGTAAAGAATCTTGGTTACAAATGGATGGAACTTTGAAATTTTACGCTTGTTATATGCGCAAAAATGTATGGCAATACACGGTGGCACGAAAATGTAGTTTAGAATTCCTCTACCTCATAATTCACATAGGCTTAGAAGATTTCCATAACTGTCAATAAAATTTTTAATTCTAATCTTGCGACATTTTTGTTCGTCTATTTTTGTAGTCAAAGTTAAGGTACTATCCCACTTATTGTGACCACAAACTTGGCTTTTACATTTCATAACTCAAAAATTGCCATTCTTTTATCAGTACAAAGTCTGAAACAAACCTTAAGGTATCTGAAGACGTGTCCGTGTTTCCGAAACTTTTGCAGCTAGTTTGAAATGCCAACAATAGAAACAACCACATTTATTCTACTTCCTTGAAGGCCTCTCTAACAGTAACTCATCGAATTGTCAAGACTGTAGGTCAGTAAAGAAATAGCGTAGTGGTCTTTTTTTACTAGAAATCGGCGCATGGACATACAAAAGCCTTCTTAAGCCTTCATTTTGAGTCTCGCTTTCATTTATACAGAAAATTACTTTTTTGAGATGTGAAACCTGTCTCCGACCCATTCATTAGTTCTTGACTCATCACCTGCATGGTAGTTTACCCCGTTGCCGAACGTTAACAAATTTATGATTTCGCAGCGTCAGATTTTTTCTTTCAAAATCTTTGTTATTTAATGTCACTAAGGGGAGGGGGAGAAAACTCAATCAAAGGAGGTTAAGGGAACACAAACAAGTATTTCCATTACCTACACGCTCGAAGAGGAGGAATTTTGTTTACGAAATTAGCACTGGGGTTTGCCTAAATGAGGGTAGAAAGAGGGAGGGAGTCGCGAGATCAAATTATCGCATGCCTCATTTGCTGCTGCCTTGGCATTACCACAAATTCTTGATATTTCCAAGTGGCCTACTCCTCCACCTAATCCATGTTTTGCCTCGACGCGAAGGCATTCCAATAGTGGCTCCTATAGCCCTCAATTTCGCACTCTCACGAGAATGGCATTTAGCCAGAACCCCTCTCAAATGTTACCTATAGTACGCACTAAATGATTAAACCCACGCCGAATGGTCTGCGATCTAGATCAGGGAAGTACATCACTGTGAGCGAGAGTCTGGAGGATCAAATGGGGTGGCATTTGTACACTTCCGAAGGCCACTGTTCCATTCATTCATCATGAAGGGAAAATTGCGAGGCGTGCAGATGTGCTCTATTAAGAGGACTATCATCCAACACACCCACCATCTAAATGTGGGTGTGTTTGTATGTCTGGGCCGTTCATGTTATGGACCTTTTCACAAAGCTGCAAATTCTCACAACGCTTGGGCTTCAACATGAGGATGATTAACGGTCTGAGTCATACGCTTGACCTGACGTTTTGTCTGGTTGGGAAAACGACTACACGCTAAGACAGGTTTTGCGTCCATTCTTCTTTAATGTACCAAGGCAGCTAAGTAGGTCACTATTTGGAACAAATTTATTCCATATTTAATAATTTAGGGAAGCATTTTTGGCATGCAAGCAAATCAGTCTCTAATCCGGTTTGGAAAGTCATGCCGAATTGTTTTTACAACCGTTTGGCATTTATCAGTACTGGATGACACGAAGTTTTACATACATTTATATTATTCGGTATCCACCATATATAGGGAAACCAAAGTTTTTATCATGCTGTTTAACTAAAGTTTGACGATAAGGAAAAGTAAAAAGAGACAAACTCACTTATCACAATTTTTGGTTTAGAGAAAAGTATTTGGCTTACAATCATCTATTTCTTTTCGAAAGAGTAACTAATTTTTAAGCAATACGCTCGAATGCAGTTCAAGTTTTAAGAAATGCTTTACAGCCAGGTAAACGTAAAAGAAGCGAATACTTGCTGAGCACATATGGTGTATTTTTACTTGGTTAGTCCAGTCTTCTGACACTAAGTTACACAGTTTTGACGCAACTCATTTGACAATGTTATAATGGCAGCTGCCAGAGATAGAGAAGAGTGATTTCACGAATCACTGATGAGATTAAATGTGGGCAAAGTTTAAATGCCAGAATGGTTTATCAGGTTTACCACTAACTTCGAGGGGAAATTTTTTCCTAAGTATTTTTATTTTTCGGTAAACCCATGCCGGTTGCGTAGAACATTGAGCAAGACATTTGCCAATTTTTCCGTGAATTTATGGCTCTTTTTAGTTCAGCCACTTAGAACTAAGGTGTTCACAGTACATTAAGATGGTCTATTTATTCTGCTCGATACAAATAATGGTTTCTTAAGTAGTGAATGCGGAGTTTATGCCGTCGCTTTGAAACCAAGTGCAATATATGTAATCCCAAGGGCAGAATTTATAACTCCTGAGTCTGTTCGACACTATTAATATGAGAGGAATTCTCCACCCAGCCTTCTTTGATTTATTCATCCATATAAAGGTCGTTGGCATACCTTTTGGATATTTGTAAAATAACTGACTTGATATTTGGCAGTCATTGGGGAAAAAGACTAAGTAAACCAAACATTATTTAACTTCATACCCTTCAGACACAAGTGCTATAATGCTGAAACGATTCCATTTTAAAAATTCTATCGGTTTTGACAAAACAATTACTGTTGAAAGCAAGAGTTCAGAACCGTAAACTCATTTAGGCATAAACTCATCCCAAGAACCTCTTTGCTATAACTGTATTGTCGCATCTCTTTCATCTGTGTATTTGATGATGCCAAGGACAGAAGTATTGGTACATGGGAACATCTCTTTTAATCGAGAAAATTTGCCAACCCTGATTTGCTCACTGGGTCAGACGCATCCACCAAAATAAAGTTTCAACTAGCCAAAATTAGTATGGAATGACTTGAATTTAGATTATGTATACCAGGCAAGACCCAAAAAAAGTCCACGGTCAACAGAAGAACCTTTTATACCACTGGAGTAATCCCTTATTTTCGTCTTTAGTTGCGTTTTGAGGCACTGCACATTACTCATTCACACCTAACTTACCAGCTAACGCAGATTTTTTATCAACATAGGTACGCAATGTCAAATCTCTGTCTGAATCCGAATTTAAACGCGAGGCGTTATTGATGCAACGGTATCAGCATGAAAACATAGTTCGTTTTTACGGCATATCCATGGACTCCCCAAATCACCAGTGCCTCGTGTTAGAGATGATGGAACAAGGTAACCTCCGTGAATACCTCCATCGTGCCAGACCTCGAATCACTCCATCCCAAGCCGAGCACCTCTCAAGGCAAGAGCACACAGCGCGTAGTGATCGATCAAGTCGTCAGACTGAAACGACGGAAGCCACTACTGGAGAGAGTGTGTGTAGTGGGTTGGGGGCTGTTGAGCTTCATGCAATGCTGACGATCCCGGATCTTATAAGAATAATGCGCGACATCGCTCGAGGGTGCCGGTATCTTGAAGAACAGCACTTTGTGCATCGGTGAGGTGTTCTGTTCCTTTAGATCCGCCTAATTATTTACTCTGGTCGCTTTAGGCGAAATTTAAAATCCAGTGCATGGCATTAATGACGTGCAGTTGCAAAAGTCTCTACGTTGTTGGAAGACACGTTCAATCTTTTGTTGATTATGCATCAGCTTGCCTCATATTAAGACTGAATAACAAATGAGGGGAGTACAAGTAACAATCCCTTTGCATTGTTTGCAGAATTCCAGGTCTTTTGTTTCTTTTTGATTTCCCAAAATTGTTTAGGATTTTTCTTAAATCTGATGCAGAACTCCTTTCTTACAGTTTTTGTTTACGTTCAGCAGATGGCTCTTATTTCCATGTAGCTGCCATGCATGACTCGAAAATGGAGTGCGGGTTAACGAAAATTACTCTATGGTTCTCTTTTGTTGGCCTTCTGAGGTGAATTTATTTGTAATTGATTCTTGCTTTTGCAGCTTTTGCTTTTAATGTGGCAAGCAAAGGACTAACTTTACTCACTCTCAGAAATGAGTTTCCCTATAAATGACTAAACTTTGAACTTAAACCTTGCAGCGTCTAGACCGACGCAAAGAAATAAAAGGGTATGCACGACGAAAACCGCTATTTCGTTTTGTCCTCTTCCTTAGGCCTTCTCACTGGCCATTTTTAAATTTGAATGCTAACTAGATAGCATTCTATTGCGTACCACCCAAAAGCAAAATTATTCCTCAATGATGCATACCATAGGTGGATGTCTCTTACAAATAAACTTAGTCCTCACTGCTGTTAAATTTGTTCTTATGAACACATTATTCTACGGCAGGTTTAGTTCCACTGACAATTCCTAAGTGGAGTTCATGAAAGGGCTGGTTCCTTTTGATATGAGTTGTACGGCAAATATTTTCGTCCGAATGCTTCGGCTTGTTTTACGATCAGCAGATCCGCGATTGCTAGCCCTTCATGACGGGCATTTTTGCGCTACCCGGCACTTTACCATTCCAGGGTCAAGACGAAGATGTGGAAGACCAGAAATGTAGTCTTTAAAATACATGCATGCTTATAGTTTGAAACATAAACCAAACACGTGTGGATACTAGTACACAGAACGACAACCAGAAATGTACCAAAACAACTGGCGATTTGCTTCAAGTTCATTCAATTTTACTTCCCAATGTTTAGCTAATTCATCACATTTCGATTTGACAAACATTGTAGATAATGATACTGAGTTGGTTCGTATCAAACTATTGCATTCCCATTTTGAACTGCGTAAGTCGGTTTTGTGTCCTTATTTTAGGTGATTGACTAAATTCACTGCGGAATGAGCCTTGTGAAAGCGTGACTCATTCTTGTGTATTATACAAATTTCATGTGCCTTGGTAACTTCCGCAGTTGTCAGTACTGACGAACTGTAGTATTGTAACACTTCTTTAAATTGGAACATTACCTACCGGCACTAGACTGGTTTTGCGGGAATATTGTTCATAAAAAGAGGAAGTCTACCGCTGTCGGCGACGACACGCAAGAAAGGCTTAACGACCCATAAATACGCATATGAGCTATTGCAAAGTTTTCTTAACTTTCGTCATATTAAGTTCTGTCAGGGATTTCAAACAAGGGGGATTCTGGCCATTCTAAAGTTGTGGAAGCAATGCCCAGGTATGAACTCAAAAGAAGGAAGAAGACCTTACCTTTTACAATAATAACTTACTATGATAGGGTTGTGTTGTTCATTTGAAGACAGTCAAGGCACGGTTTTAGTGCAATTTTTTTTTAGGTATATTCTACTGGTATCCACAAACCATTCCTTTATGCATTAATCGTCTCATCACAAACTTTTATAAAGGCTCTCGCAACCACAACACCAGTCACAAGTAAACAGATAATTGAAATTCTGAGTTACTTCCTTAATATTTTTACAGAGACATTGCTGCGCGGAACTGCCTCGTCAGCCACAACCACGAAAGTGGCCGTATTGTGAAACTCTGCGACTTTGGACTTGCTCGTGACATCTACAAGAATGATTACTACCGCAAAAGAAATGAGCCCAAATTGCCTGTTCGGTGGATGTCTCCAGAAGCAATTCTGGAGGGCCTTTTCACTAGCAAGTCGGATATATGGTAATAAAAGGAATGTTTAATATCATGGAACGAGGGTATATCAAAATATTCTTGATATCGCTAATCAGATCTCGGGGAACTTTCAAAGGACTGATGAAATGATGATGAGTGTTTTCAAACGCCTATCATTCTTCTCAAAAGGCACAAGGACATAGGATAAACTTCATTATGACCTTATAGCCTAAAGTCAAATGTGAATGGGAACAATTGTATAGCAAGTCTGTTAATCTGTTTTGATTCTCCTTAGTTTATTCTGTATGTTGGTCTTAAATTTACCCAAGTTTCTCACAAAAATGGGAAGGAATTTGTGAGTATGACATATTACGGCATTGGACTTTTAACATATTGAGGACGTTTTACAATTTGGATTCAATGCCCTAGAGGAAACAGGTGTTTTAATGCAGCAGGAAAGTACGTCAGCATATTATCCAACGCAGGTTTTGTATTTTTAAATTGAAGAACAAAGCTGTGCAATCCCTGTCCAAGTTCAAATCATGAATTGACGTCCAGGGATTGAAGTGACTCAGTATGCTGCTTTTCTATTAACTGGCACAAACCTTAATTCAGCAGTTCAAAATGTTAAAATACTTAGAATTCGCATTCCATTTCCCGGCAGTCAAAAAAAAGGCAGACGTGCAATGCATTTTTTGTGTTCTTACATAGTTTGTCGCATAAATTCACCTTTGGAACTTACGACTAGTTACTTGGATCCGACAATGACAAACTAAACGCAGAGTAGTAAAACGGTCATTGTATCGAATGTTTAAAGACAATTAATTTTGGGTTGAGATTTAAATGCAAAACATGTCAATACGAATGTTGATTGTCCATGTTTAAAGTAAAAACACTTTCCGTTGTCGCTCCAGCTGGACATAACAGATCAAAATGAACCGAAATTTCTGTCATTTTGATGCATCGTCGCAAAATACGTCTTAAAATATCCGCTTTGGTTGCTTTGTATCGTACTTGTCTCTTCAAAGGATTTCGGCGTAACAACAACATTTGATAAAGAGGTGGAAAATTACTCTACCCGTATGGAAATTTTGACATCACTGTGGCCAAATCCCGGTCACAAGAGTTAAAACTCTTCCAAAAGACTTACACCCAAATCTAACGGATGCCATGGAAACCAATAAAAATTCTAGCACATACGAAATTTTTGATAGTTTTATCCAGGATAAATGAGTTCGTGGGTAATGTTAGGTTTATGCTACTTTTGCGAAAGCATGCATAATGATAGTTCGTTATTCAGACGACCATAAATTAAACAAAATTGAAGTAACAGTAGCATGTATAAATACTTTTCATTTTATCATCCAACAAGAGTTTAGGAGAAACAACTGCTTTACTATAATGCGCATTAGGAAGCAGTTCTTTTCCCTCATCTTACCTTTCCTAAAGTGGTGTTCCCTCCATGTGCGTGCTTTCACTGCTGACCTCATCTCCATCTCCATTGATTCCACAGAAGAAATTTGGAGTCATTAATTCGTCAATGTAACTTGTGTGCGTTTGCAGGTGCAAAAAAAATTAGAACTCCTAACGTTATTTTTGACCTTTTCTGACCAGTTCACGGTTTTGACCTCTGGTTATTTGTGGTTTTGCGAGGATATTGCTAAGCGCTCCTTACCATTGTGAAAATTTGTTACTTTGCTTTTATCGCGAAGGAACAGTGTTCGTTATTCGCCCCCGCTGAATTTAAAATGGATCTAACCCAGGGGTTACAATTGTTAAACGAATGCGCATGCTCGATATGGATGCGCTTAAGAAAGCATTGAGGGCATACGACATTGAGATTTTAAAAGAAGTTGCATAATGTTCCTTCTTGTTCCTGAAATTCATCTCAATTGATATCAGCTCATGCTACAAATTCATAATGGGTTCTTGAATATCAGATCTTTTAAAAGGAAGAAAATTCGATTAAAATACGATGATCGAGAGCAGAAGTAGTCCCCATTTGTGTACGTCTTATGACCTAACATTAGATTTCAAGTTGCATACCTGGAGTTTTACGCGTCTGGAGTGACATGTGCGGTTAGATTCAATCACTTAGCATTTGGAAGTGCTGCAGTAAATAAAAGCCATCGCTTCTAAACGTACCCACTTTTGTTTTGTTAGACCGAGTTTGGACTAAACATCACTTGCTGAATTTTGCAATGCTAAGGGTGGGATGGTTTGCTAAAGGATCCCGTGGTCAAGGGGATGGTCTGCTATACCCTGGCACTGCTTGATTTATATAGTTAGTTGCTTTAAAAAGCACAGATATTGCAGCAATAAACAGCTGTTTGTGTCAGCGAAATACAACACCTCTGCGGAAATTCTATGCAAGGTAATTCGTGCCCAAATACAAAAAATAGTGCATATTCATGGGCCATCCGCCATTCACTATTCTAAAATGAATCAAAATTTTACCTCCTATTGACTTTGAAGCCCCTCTCTATCAGGTGTGTTCTAGTTGATATATTTGAATGGTATTTTGTAATTACTAGTCAAAGCCTAAGCATTGAGGAATTTTCTCAACCCAGACCAAAGGTCTTAGGCATCCTTAATTGGACTTGAAATGTTCTAGTTAGTACAGCTTAGTTACAACTTAGGGCGTTTTATATTACGTGGCTACATTTTGCGCCGTTTCAGCTCATATGCGTATCTTATTGATAAAACTCTATCTCGTCAGGTATATTCCATAATTTTACTGGGCGCACATTTGTGTCCCGCACATACATGGTTTACCAGACCTGTTTGAAGGGGTGGTCAATGAACGCAGTGACTGTCAGTGTTGCCGCGGTTTTGACAAACTATCAATCGCTCTTGATGTGAACAATTTTTCCTGTTAGGGATGTTTAAGAGGGCAATCGCCATTATGGATCCTACTTTAGTCAATTTATAACCACATCGATAAACAAGGCTAAAATAGTGAAGTATAAAGCACATATTATAGCTATTATTTAAAGTTCGACCCATCTTTAAATTTACATATAATAAGAGCATTTTTGAAACCCTTACCATGGTAGATTTGGCACCAATTTGGAGTTGCTGTGATGCTCAAATAAATTCGAAGTTTTTTACTCCTCGCTTCGTCAGTATGCTGATAGAGCACAAATAGATGACATTACATGATGAAGATTTCGCTGAAACGACAAATATTTAAGCAATCGAGTCTTGTTTGGGAATGAAATCTCATAAAGATGTTGGGCATGCATTGCATGTCATCCGTTGTCTAAAGCACCTCTCTATACAAACGCGCATTAACTTCCTTGCATATTTTTATTCCTCAACACTGTTTGCCAATTTCATCTGGGTCACCGAAGCTTCGAATTATCGACGATTCTCTCCTTGGCTGCAATGTTTATTCCATTGTGCCTAAAGGTTGTAGCAACTCCCCTACGCACAAATTGTCAGCTCCACAGTTAATTGGCCAACGTGAGCTGGTAGGATGTGTAATTACTTTCCGGGTAACATTAATGACCAGGGTTAGTAAATAAATTCATTCTACTTAGATATATGCAGCGGGAGAATGAACAGCGATTTGCAAGACATTTTCACCTGAATCACAGGCTAAAAATAAGCCTTGAATCGATTAATCGGGCCGTGGTTGATGGCATAGACAAACTCATCCAACTTTGCAGATTAAGGGTATTATCCTAGCTAGCAAGTGTTGATATTAGGCAATGGAAACATCGGAATTAGCTAGCAGTCAAGCTCTCGGAGTCACCACTATTCATTAATGATATTCTTTTCAAGCCAAGGGCACCGAGTTTAGTCACAGCTGTTCAGCAAAAAACAGTGATGAGCGTAATGGACCTTCGAAGAAAACCTTTAATCTGCCTCTAGAAAGTTAGAATTGGTTGGTAGATTTTGGAAAACACTGACAAAATATTTGGACATTTGTAAGGAAGATCTGTTTCTTATATCATTAATTCTGCAAAATGTCAAAAGAATAAGCAGTGATGCATTGTCGGAAAAGTCAGGACCTAACATTCATAACCATCCTTTGTTAATATTTTGAATAATTTCTCTAATCCTACCGAAATGCTGACATTGATGATTTATTAAACATGAGATCATAAACACGTTAATTACTTCAACCTTTGGAAGACTTATACCCTGCTTTCCTTATTGTCAAGGCAAACACAGCATACTTAGAATTTCGTAAACAGGAGACAAATGGTTTAATCCAGACGTGATCTTACGGATGCTAGAGTAACACATGTGAGCACTTCGTACATAGAACAGAAACATGTCTCCGATCGGATACAAGTAGGAGCATTTTAAATGCGTTTGTAAATTATTTTTCTTCCAGGTAAAGTGGTTTGGCTGTTTTTGCAGTTCCCATCCTATTAGATCTGCCCACTCATCGCTTAATTTTGGTACTGTGAGTTGCGGCGGGAATAAAATCTACTGATGTAAGATCTGATGAACCAGTATTTAGGAAGTGAGCTACTCATGGCTATGTTAAAGGAGCAGTAGCTCAGGGCAAAAAGCGACAAATGAAGCCGCATTTTGGGACTCTTCATCGATTTGGCCTGTGAAGCGGGTCTTTCAAACCTCTAATAAAGAAGTTTACCCAACAGTTTGCAAGAAAACACCCATTTTGTTTTATGCATTTGAGTGTACTGGTGCAGTAAACTCAATGATGAGCCGATAACAGAGAGCCTGTTTCGTAGCACAAGGCAAGTATTTTCTTCTAATATCCTTAACACCTGTGTCGGATGGCGAGTAATGTTCCCTCCTCCACCAGCAAAACACAGCAGTGCAAATATTTTAAGGGATAAAACTGCTTGTCTATGCATGTTACTTAATTCATCTATCCATTTTACATCCTCCTACCAAAAAATTCCCATTTAGATAGGAAAAATTTAGAGTTGAAGGCTTGCAAAAATGAAAGCAATGCAAATGCATCTTTTTTAAAAAAGAATCTCATTGTTAGTTTGAGCATTGGAGCACATCCTTTTAAATGACATCAAAGACTAGAAAATACCTGATTAATGTTTTGAGATTGCAATGCGAGACTTTATGGCTCAGTTCACTTAATCAACACCATGAACCTTAAAAAGGGCTTCCAAATCCAAAAAGCGGCGAGAGTACAATCATTAGTGATCACAAGAAAAGTATTACTTGTCATTTACCCGATGAAGCACAAATTTTGTAAATAAATACTTCGGCACCACATTTTAAACCAACTTTTACTTGATTGTATTCGGAATTTTTTTAGAGTTGACAAGTTCACAGGCCTTTTGGGAGTATTTTTACTTCTCTGAGGCCAAAAATAGATGCGGCGCTGGGGCAGACTAACCATTGGTGACGCATGGTTGAGCTGAGAGGGTTCTTGGCTTGACTCAGAGGCTATGGTACATATTGAAGTGAAACGAAGAGTTCGAAAACACTTGTAAATTATTATGACTCTCAGTTTGTACTTATTGTTGTTTAGCTAAGTACTCCATTCATTTGTGCTGGTGCAATGCTAGTTATGAATAATTTATAAATGGTGCCAGCTTGTGCTAGCAATTAAGTTGTTTTTAATAGTTCCTGATACACGCAACTCTTGAAGTCAAATCCATTTGTAGGTAGTGACGTTATTTAAATAAAATTGCATTGATTGCCGATGGCAAAGTAAGCTGAGCAAGGACCAAATAAATGCTAAGAATAGAGTTTGTGTTTTAGTAACTTTTTGTGTTTCACTGCAAAAAGATTACCCTTTCAGATTAAAAGCAAGCTCCCTTTAACGTTTCTAAATATAAGAAAATTATTCTAAGGAGGATTTAAAGTGTGTATGGCAAGGCATTGTGGTAACCTCTGACTAAATGCATAAATTCCCCTCAAACTCGCAAAAGAGAGATTCGAAAGATTGTCTGATTGTCATTCAAAATTCCATTTTCAACCATAGCCACAATCCTATTTGCCATTTCAAAGGGCCTACGCAGTCACTTGTTGGGAGGTAATGTCTCTGGGGGCAGACCCCTTCTACGGACAGGTAAATCTGGAGGTGATCAACCTGGTGCTAAATGGCAATGTGCTATCGAAACCGGACAACTGTCCACCTAGCTTGTGAGTCTTCTTCTCTCTTCCAAAATGTGAATATTATTTTACTTTGTACATTGCTCCTATAAATGAACAGCCAGTGTTCAATGGCTTCACTTCCAAAACCTACTAATGCAGAAACTTCTTTGCATTAAGAGGCCTTCGGCAAGTGTCAAACAGTGATTCGATGCAGTCTGAAAGTTGATACAAAACGTATAAGCTGGATATTTTGTTCAATCACCCAAAGAGCCCTTTTACATTTTATTATTTCCTCGCTTTTTTAAATTCAACTTTTGGACGGCACATCGTATCTCAAAATTTGGGAGAAGTTAAGTAAATTTCCTTCAAAGTAAAAAGAAGCAGCTAAGTGTAAAAGTGGTGGCAACTGAGTTTTTGGTGGTTCTGGATGAAGTGTTAATTAACCAACTAAGGGAATGTTCGCAAAAGTTGCTTGTTGATTTGTTTCGCGTCGGAAGAGGTGAGTAATTTATTCGTGCAACGGAAATATTTAAGAGTGCCCATTTGGCATCAGCTGGGATCACCGGCGAATTCACGAAGTCAAGGAAATCCCTGATGTGCGGCGTAAACAGACTTCTCAAATAATGTAAGCGGAAGTTATGCACGAAAAGCTCGTAATACAAAAGAGTGGAAGAAATTGACTAGTTCATGCGAACTTGTTTACTGCCTTAAAGGAACCTACTTCAACTGATTGCCTCCATGCTTCTAGGCATTATTAAAATTCAATCCAAACCCATCTAAAATTTTCATTTAAGTACAAAGTCCCTGTCGTCATCGTGTTTTTTTAAATGCTGGCAATGATGCATCCTTGATATTCACCTTGAGATGAACCTTTTCACGAGTTTAACTTTATTGGAAACGGTCACAACTTGCTTATAAACTTATCTTCTTAGGGATTGACGATTTTACTAATTTTAATTGTTAAAGATGATTTCACACGTATGCTGCCTTGGCAGGTACGATCACATGCTACAGTGCTGGAGTCGGTTCCCAGAGATTCGCCCCACCTTTGTAGAAGTCTGTCGAAAGATGGAGGAATTCGTGGAGGCCTCAAAAAACGCGGAAAGTCCTTTCTCTGCACCTTACGTCTATCGTGTTCCCATTGGCGGATCAGCAATTCGTAAGCTTCTCCGTATTATGAGCCCTCTGGATTCGCTTTCCAGGTTTTGTGCAAGTCTGAATGGCGCAATTCATGTAAAAACATGTACCTCCTCTCTTCCACGTGAGAGTCTTTTACAAAGACTAACGTTTAATTTTCAAACATATACCTTTATACAGAAAAATTTGGTTCACATAGGCCAAGAATATATTCTGACGCCATTAGTAGCACTGTTTCGAAGAGTATCAATATGGCACCACTATAAATGATCGAATTGCTGCGAAATCTAGTCGCATTTACCATGGTTGGTGTAGATATTGAGATTGAACGCATCCAAGCTGGAAGAGATTTTAATGTTGTCAACGTCCGATGCACTGCTTTAAGGGATAATTTTGGGTTTGGCTTTAATGCAAAATATTCTGCTCAAAATCGGTTTATTCACTCTTGGTAGTCAAGACAGTCCAATGGTATCCATCACCATCATCATCTTTTTTGGAGGGCGAAATTACCCCAGGTACTTGCCTCAAACTCATTCTCATTATCTGATATTCGTTTCTCTTCACCTTTCTTTCTTTGCTGAAATGAGTAGGGTCAGACATTTACATATAACAATAGCTCTCCTCATAGGAATTGTCTTGTAAAATGTCCTACATCTACAACACACTGGAGAACTACTGATATCACTTAATTTTTGGTGCTGTTCAAGTGAGAAAAGCCATAATGGCTTGGTAGTAAAGGATCGAACATTATCTCACTGCTGTGAAATCCCAGAAATTCTTCCTATGTAGGTCATGTTTAAGAGAACATCACTTTCGATTTTTGTACTGCACTTTTGCACCATTACAAAACAAAGGAAACCTGAGAGTACCGCTTACAGATCTATAGGTCTTCCTTAAAGTTATAACAAGCCACTTTGGTGAAAAGAAGCACATTGTTGGCCTTAGCCGCTTGGAGTGGGCATTAGTGCTGGCCAGAAGTTTCTAGCTGCAGTGCCCAAAGAGGTCAGCACAAAAGCAACATGAAACAAAATTTAAGATATTGCATATTTTGTGATTCTGGGAGTGGTTTACATATGCGAAAATTTCCGGATCAAGTAAATAAACTCTAATTATGCATGGAAATTTATTAATCTGGATTGTGGATGCAGCTTTCATTTACCTTATGTCTCCCAACATTGACAATTAATGGTGGAAAGAGTAGTGATAAGCCTCATTTAGCAAGTATTAGAGGATCTAGGCTCAGTAATTCTTCTTATGTATGTCGAAAGCCTTAAACGTGGCGCATGATTATCTTGCCTGTTTACCAAAATTAACCGCATTCAATCATGCTAATACTTTCCAAGTTTAATGGATCTAGACATTTCTCTAGCTTTTACTTTGTGCCTTTTATTCATTTGGAATTATTGGTGTTGCTGAAGGCTTAGTTTTGAAGCCTGTAAAACTCTTTCCTTATGTCAAAGTCACAATTGGAAGCAACCAACTCGATCATTTTCTGAAAGAAATTAGACTTAGTATAAATATTTTAAGGCGGCTTTATGGTAGGATTGTCTGAATAAAAGCCTTTATGTAATTTGTACACACACTCCTCTACCTCTCTCTTTCATAGCCTCGGAATCTGCACCTACAGTTGAATGTGCCGACTTGCGGCGTGGGAACGAGGGTGATGCTTCTGCTCTACGTTTCAACGACTCCAGAGTGAACCTTATCCACTCCAACTCCCTCAGTATGGGAAGGTGTGATGAGGACAGTGGTGCTACGTCTCGTCAGACAAGGAGTCTTCATCGCCAAGTCTCCTGTCCGCGCTCTGCTATCGATCCAGCAGGTCCACTGACCGCTGGCTTCTTCTTCACTCAACTTCACCAGCAACCACCACTGCCAGTGCCTTTATACGCACAGGAAGTCAACCTACCTGGTAGCCTAGCTGGACATGGGCCTCCACGCTTGCGCAGGCAGTTGAGCGATCGCAACCAATACAACCGAGAACCGGCTGAAGTCGATTCCATGGGGTAGGATTATAGGGGACTGCTTAATTATATCCACCGAGAATTCGCATTACCATGGAATGGAATGTTTCTTCTTTAGTGCTACTATTTCGGAACAAGTGATGTCTTACAAAAAAGAAATCAGTTTATTTCAATCGCCAGAACTAACGTTCTCCTTGTAACTCTTCGATTCAGTTATAGACTTACCCTAGTATTTAGCACATAGCTGAGATTTGACATAAACTTCAAGGAAAAACTCAAATATTTTTGAATCTCAGTAACTATTTTATGTCGACCTATGCTCACATATACAAAATGAAAACAGGACTTCTCTAAAATTCCTTAAAATGTGTTCGCTAAACCTAATGTGAGCTGGGGACTTAGCCATAGAGAGTCGGTTTGGTTGTGATGCACATAGCTTATATTCTAGGTCTATATCACCACTCCAAACAAACATGTGCTCTGCAACGTACTGGCGCATTGTATAGAGGCTCGCTAAAGACTTAAAGCGCATATTTATCAGTTGGCTATAATAATGACATGATAACACTTCCTCCTCGTGGTAGCGTTACAGCTTTATCGTTATCCCCATATTTTTTTGTTCGCCCTCCTCCATGAATGTGTAACGAATTGAAAGGCAAGCAAAATCAAACAGTTTTAAGAAGGTAAAAGAGGAAAACTGCCATTCGAGAACACTGATTCGACACACTTTCCATTCCAACTGCGATTTTGGTCGCACGCTTTTACCCATGATCTCTTCAAAGAAATAATTACTATTTTTATTATTTCCTACCAATAACCCAGCTGGTACTTTAAGGATACTTGGAAAAAGACTAGCAGCGAATGAATTTTCTGTTCCCTGCTAGTCTATTTGTCAGTCGAAATGCACAGTTCCCACGCAGTTACTGGCGTCAAGGCAGGTTAGCGCTTGGAGCTTAAAAGAGGCAAGGGGAAACTCATTACCTTCCCACAAAAAGTGTGTCACTTGGACAAATCATCGACATCTAACTTACTATCTCTGTAACGCTTTGGTGCTACACTTTTCGTGGTGGATGTACCGTTTGAGTTGGTAATTTAGCCTTGACACCGGGAGGTCAAAGTCCATAGGATATGGTAGCTCCTGC